CGAGTTAGGTAAGAAAAAACGAGACCTACAACAACCAACACCTGTGATTTTGGGAGACACGTTTATGCTAAACAGTTTCATACAAAAGTTGCAAACATTTGCGTCTGGTTATCTCAAAAACTAACTGCTTTCATTAAAAGTGTCTCTAAACTTTGTTAAAATGAACGACTTCATGAGCTTTGATTGGTTAATCAATCCAATTCACCAATTGTTATTTTGAAGAAAAACGGGAGGCTGGAAACATCTGTAGCTTTTGTAAAAAATGCTTTTCCTATATTGTAAACAAACTTTTTAAGAGGTTGATTTCACGCAAATTTTAAACACCCTGTCGCAAGGAAAGCAAGATTTGAGCACTGCGGTCTTTCTGTAAAATAGCTTTTTGAGCCACATAATTATGAGCGCAAGCTTTATGCGAGTGGGAACAAAATTTCAATCTAACAATTACCTCAATATCATATACAAAAGTCACTATTAAAAATTATAATACATTCCGCTGTGAAAGTATTACTTCGTAAAAGTAATTGAATATTCGAATAAAAACTTGTTTAAGTTTACACTATAAAAATAAAATGAACTGAAGCGATATCAGCAATTTTGCATTGCAATAAATAAGCGCCAGCCCTCTTAAATTTTCGATTTTCCCGAAAGCTTTTAATGAGTCAAGTTGGCGCATGGCTTTTCACCCCCCAATTCTTTTGAAAAGAAGCCACTGCTCCATTTGAACAAACCTTTCTTATTTTGAACACTGCACTGAAATCCATCTGAAGCATCACATCATCATAAGCACTTTATACTTCACCTTCAACATCAGCTCCAAAAACGCATAGACGATTAATTAATCAACTATTAATATTCACAAAATATCCATCTCATGGTCTAACAGACTCGATCGAGCAAAAGACGGAAGCTGACTGACTCGAAGAAGGCTTTTTCTCTCTTCGGAAGGCCATCCATAAGGCCATAACTCAGTTTGGCTCGCTAACAAGGTTACACTTCTCTCGGAAGCAGGCCGCTCAAATTAAATAATTTAATACCAGCGAAAGTTATTGTGAATAATCCAGTTAGACCGCCGATATCGAATCAGGGCAGGAGAAGGACGAAAATATGGCCAGGATGAATGAAGGAAGCGAATAAGAAAATGGCGTGCAGTACAGGGTCAGGTTGAGAACAATTTGAAAGACAGGAACCAGTTGATTGTATAAGAATGAACAGTTTTAGTTGATAAAATCTTGAACAAAATGTTTCTAGAAACATTTCCAGAAGTGCAATTGCTTTAAATCTGGACACACCAAAGAAGAAAATTGCCTGTTCCAAGGTTCGAATAGTTTGTTGCTTTCATTTTACGACTGAAGAAAGTGTTTCGCTGCCAAAAATTTTACCATTTCAAACATGAAATAAACTGTCTATGGAAAGATTAGTGTTGATTCATACAATGCAAATGGAAGATGCGGAGAAGATACATAATTCAACCACAAAGAGTTTCAAGCAACTGTTTTAGGTCTTGTAGCAATGTTTGTATTGAGCAAAGCCATAAGGGAAAACTAAAAAAAAGACTGCAGACATTTAAAACGGTTTGAAGGTCAGAAGCATGGAGGAATAAATGGAAGAATAAAGAAAAGCAGCTTCAAAATGGCAAACATTAAGAAGATCCCAAGGAGCAACGAAAGATCAATAGGAAACGAGAACAAATAGTATCTGCAGAAACGTGTTAAAAAAAATAAGTGAAGATGGTTTAATCGGTTTTTGACTGTAATTTCCACAAATACCATTGAATTCGGAAAACTTCTAATTCTTAATCTTAATCCGTAATCTAACAAAACTTAAATGTAAGTTTAGTTACATACACTGAAAGGTTGCGCACTTTCCAACATAACAATCAAGATTGTACAGGAGCAGTAATTTTTTAATATTTGTTATTAAATGTTCATATTCGGCATTTTCTTTACGCAGTTTTGTGCGCAATTTTTCCGCAGCTCAGAAATATTTCGGGTATCGGAAAGAAATGTTGAATTAAGACGGCAAAAATTGAGCCTTGAATAAATTATATTGTTAAAGTATTGATTTAAATCTTTTTTTTATACTAACAACAAGAGAGAACAGATATTGAAACATTTGCTAATCTACACAACAATCTGTAACCTGTTTTCTTGATTGAATACTCTAGCAAAGAAGATTGATTTTTAAAGCTCCCTGTATAAAAAAATATTTAAAAATGTTGTCAAAATTCCACTGGTTTTTTTTAACGGAATAATTTAACGAATAAAAAATACTCACTAAGCATCATACGAACGCAATGAAACTATTATTATACAAAGTTATCTTCAATTTAAAATTCTTATTGTAGTAATGTTTTGGTAGATTGATAAAAACTTAGATTTCATAATATTTTGGTACGTAAGAGAAGACATTTCTTAGTCGATCTCCGACTAAAAGCTGAACCTATCATATTTTCAAGAAGGACTTTTGTGTCGCTGGAATTAGTTCCTGCTGTATTTAAATATTTTTGCCATTTACTGTGAATAGTTAGTAATCAACTTATTTATTATCGTTATTATCACTAAAACCTAAAAATGGGACTTAACTTAACTTTTTATTGCAGTGTTTGTACTAAGAACTCTAAGAAAAGATAATTTGTAAAGATTCGAAAAGAATTTTACAGTTGTTCAATTGGTTCAAATTGTGCACACATTTGTCGTAACTCTGGAAAAATGATCTAAACGGATTCCTTGGGCGTACATAAAAAAATGTAACAGATACGTTGGTTTTAAGAAAATAATCAATAATTTTGCTAGTTATAGTTGCAACTATTCGCACCAAGTATTTTTTCGAGAATATCGTCAAAATATCTGCATTTTTTTTTATTATTTTTATTAAGATTCTCTAAATTGACTGCTTTCGCCTTGCATCCCTAAGAGAAAATTTTTCAGAACTACTAAAATGACTTAATTTAGTTTCTTAAAGTAAAATTATGTAAAGCATTTTTGCAAAGAATGTGTTGCTTTGCCCATAGGATGTGACCAACTGTTTACATTTTACAGACTCAAATTAACGTGTTTTTTGATAATTTGCATTTTTTCTTTAAACTATCAGCAAATTTGCATAAAAATGAGTTACCGAAGTTGAATGAATGAAATTATTAATACTTGAAACGAAACTATTAAAAAACGGAAATATTAAAATTGCACATTGCCGTAGTCAAGATTTTAACAAAACGTTCAGTATAATAAAAAAAATGAGAAACAGCTAAGTTTTACAAAACATAAAATTAATTCGCAAAACTTGGCGATTTTTGTTATTTGCAATTAATTCTGGTTTGAATAAAATTTACTGCTTAAACCACTCTGCTTGTCCTATTTTCTACTAATAAGTAAATGTATGTTAGACAAATACTTTTTATTAGAATGTAGTAATCCCAAGGATCAGATATTCAAATAGACAATAGATAGAATAATTGGTAAAAGATTTTAGTAAAAAAGTTAGAACAAATGTAAAAATAGATTAATAAATGAAAGTAGTAGATAAGTTCTATATTGTTGAGGCGGATTCATTTTTTTACAAACTTCTTGTTGGGTATTTCGCATCAAAAATTTTTGTCTTTAAAAAAGACAGAATTTCCTCACGTCTTTTATTACAGATTGATAAATAGTGCTCCTATTTCGCA